CCACCATGCCTGGCTAGTATTTTGTGCTTTTCATAGAGATGGGGTTCCACCATTTTAGCTAGGATGGTCAGGATCTCCTAACCTCGTGGTCCACCCTCCTTGGCCTCCCAAAGTGCTGGGATTACAGGCATGAGCCACCACGCCTGGCTTCCATGCTTTTAATGACAAATACAACTGGCATAAATGGGTTTTTAGAGTGAATATGGCTGAGTCTTAGGCGGCATGGTGTGGAATTTTTCACACGAATGTACAGATTATCCAAGAGTCCTGTCAACCACCAGTGTTTTATAGGAGAGTGGAGAATGTCAGTTTATTCGGCCAATCAGGTAGTGGAGGTAGGAGAGTGTCTGCCCAGTCCACTGTGTGGGTGTGCCCAAAGTCGTTATCCACTTTCTCGTGGCTGGACATTCCAGTGGTTTACAGTTTAGTTTTCTCAAATGTGCAGGATCATGATGATCCTTTGGATTAATACCTGGAGGTGTAATTGTGCTATGTAGGTACTTAGATGTACATGCCCATACACATACTATGTCTTTGAGACATACTGCCAGATAACCAAAAAATTTGTGCCAGATTTCATCAGATTGTAGGAGAGTGTCCATTTTCATATTCTCTTTTCAAAATTGAATTTGATGACAGGTTGAGTGTGGTGGTACATGCCTATAATCCCAACACCTTGGGAGGCTGAAGCAGTAGGATCCTTTGAGCCCAGGAGTTTGAGGCCAGCTGGCAGCATTGGGAGACCCCCATCTCTCTAAAAATTAAAAAAAAAATATTAGCCAGGCATGCTGGTACACACCTGTATGTAGTTCTAGCTACTCTGGAGGCTGAGGTGAGAGGATGGCTTTACCTCAGGAGTTTGAACCTGCAGTGAGCCATGATTATACCACTCTATTATACTCTAGGTGATGGAGCAAGACCTAATCTCAAAAGAAAATTTTAATGGCCAGGCACAGTGGGTCACATCTGTAATCTCAGCACTTTGGGAGGCAGAGGTGTGTGGATCACCTGAGGTCAGGAGTCTGTGACCAGCCTGGCCAACATGGTGAAACCCCGTCCTTACTAAAAATACAAAAAATTAACTGGGCATGGTGGCACAAGCCTGTAATCCCAACTACTCAGGAGGCTGAGGCAGGAGAATCACTTGAACCTGGGAGGCGGAGGTTGTGGTGAGCCAAGATCACGCCACTGCCTTCCAATCTGGGCAAAAGAAGCAAAACTCCATCTCAAAAAAAAGAGAAAAATTTGCATCAAAAAAAGAAAATAATTAGATGACAATTAAAAAATCTCCAAAACGTGCCCAGTTTGATAGGTGAAATTTTAAATTGCATGTTTAGTTTATATTTTTAATATACAAATGCTTATTTTTCTTTTAAAACATTGTATTTCTTTGTGACCTGATGAACATAACCGTGCTCACTTTTCTGTTCAGGTGCTTACCTGTTTCCTGTTGGTTTGCATCCACTCTTCATTTTAATTTTATTTATTTATTTATTTATTTTTTGAGACAGAGTCTCGCTCTTGTTACCCAGGCTGGAGTGCAATGGAGTGATCTCGGCTCACCGCAACCTCCGCCTCCTGGGTTCAGGCAATTCTCCTGCCTCAGCCTCCTGAGTAGCTGGGATTACAGGCAAGCACCACCTTGCCCAGCTAATTTTTTGTATTTTTAGTAGAGACGCGGTTTCACCATATTGACCAGGATGGTCTCAATCTCTTGACCTCGTGATCCACCCGCCTCGGCCTCCCAAAGTGCTGGGATTACAGGCTTGAGCCACCGCGCCCGGCCCGAGATCACACCTTTTACTCCAGCACTCCAGCCTGGGCAACAAGAGGAAAACTCTGTCTCAAAAAAATAAATAAAAAGGGAAAAAGAACTCTGGGAGAGACCTCCATTCACGAGTATGGCCCAAGGCATTGGGTGCCTGTTGTAAGTGCTCAGAGCTCAGGAGTAAAGCAGCTCAGGCTGTCAGCTGGGGTGGAGGGATGATCATGTGGCCCACTTTTGCTTGGTCTTTGTGCAGAGGAGTCTGCATCTCAGTTCCACCCCTCTCCCCTCCAGCTTGCCCTGGGTACAACCTAGAACCATTGTGTGGATGGTGGGCAGCAGGAATTATCCTGGATAAGCCCCTCCCTGGTTTGATCAGCCCTGCTTGAATGAGGTCTTTGCAAGAAAACTTTTCAGAGGCAGTCATCCTTAGAAGGTTGGCCAACATCTGGAAATGAATGCAGCAGTTACTTTGTTTAAGAAAAGTGGTGAAGGCCGGGCACGTGACTCATGCCTGTAATCACAGCACTTTGGGAGGCCAAGGTGTTTAGATCACGAGGTAAGGAGTTCAAGACCAGCCTGGCCAATGTAGTGAAACCCCATCTCTAAAAAAAAAAGAAAGAAAAAAAAGAAAAAAAAAAACGGTGAAGTACTGCAGTGCAGCCCATTGCCTTCTGGGTGCCTCTCATAGTTATAAACAATGCAAAACCCAGTCCTATGGAAGCGACTTCCTGGCAAAAGAATTCCTCCTTGTCCCCAAGTTTTTTCTGGTTACTGCTTTGCCATGTGCTCTTTCTGTCCCTCCACAGCCTGGCAGCTTGGAAGAAGCCAGTTTGTTCCTACAGCTCTAACCCAGCGTAAATCTTCTCTGAACATGCCAGGAAGTTGAACATGAGCAATAATTTTGCCAGGGTGCGGTGGCTCAAGCCTGTAATCCCAGCACTTTGGGAGGCCAAGGCGGGTGGATCACAAGGTCAAGAGATTGAGAACATCCTGGTCAACATGATGAAACCCCGTCTCTACTAAAAATATAAAAAATTAGCTGGGCATGGTGGTGCATGCCTGTAATCCCAGCTACTCAGGAGGCTGAAGCAGGAGAACTGCCTGAACCCAGGAGGCGGAGGTTGTGGTGAGCCGAGATCATGCCATTGCACTCCAGCCCGGGTAACAAGCGCGAAACTCCATCTCAAAAACAAAAACAAAAAAAGAATTTTAAGATTATTTTGGAACTGTGATAGTTGAGATATGAATTCACCTATTCTTGGCCTACCTAACCAAAACAGAGTAGAAAGGCCAAAAGTAAAATGTACCCAGGGCACATAACATTGTTCCAAAAATGTAATTCTCTGTGACTGTGGCTGCTGAAACTGTGGGCTGTCACCTGAAACCAGTTTTATCTATTGGCTGCTGAAACCTGCTATGATTCGAATAGTTTCACCCACTGCCAGCTCCCCCACATCATTCTTTTTTTTTTGAGACACAGTTTTGCTCTTATTGCCCAGGCTGGAGTGCAATGGCACAATCTCGGTTCACTGCAACTTCTGCCTCCTGGATTCAAGTAATTCTCCTGCCTCAGCCTCCCGAGTAGCTGAGATTACAGGCGCCTACCACCATGCCAAGCTAATTTTGTATTTTTAGTAGAGACAGGATTTCTCCACATTGGTCAGACTGGTCTCAAACTCCTGACCTCAGGTGATCCATCTGCCTCAGCCTCCCAAAGTGCTGTAATTACAGGCATGAGCCACTGTACCCCACTCCCCACATTCTTACTAGTGCCAATGAATTTTTTTTTCTTCTTCTTTTTTTTTTGAGACGGAGTCTTGCTCTATTGCCAGGCTGGAGTGCAGTGGCGCAATCTTGGCTCACTGCAACCTCTGCCTCCTGGATTCAAGCAATTCTTCCGCCTCAGCCTCCCGAGTAGCTGGGACCACAGGCACATGCCACCATGCCTGTTTATTTTTTGTATTTTTAGTAGAGACGGAGTTTCACCATGTTGGCCACGATGGTCTGGATCTCTTGACCTCGGGATCCACCCGCCTTGGCCTCGCAAAGTGCTGGGATTACAGGCGTGAGCCACGGCGCCCAGCCTGTCAATGGATTTTTTCAAAGAGCAATACATTTTTTTTTTGAGACAGGGTCTTACTCTGTCACTCAGGCTGGAGTACAGTGTGTTCACAGCTCACTGCAGACTTGATGTCCCAGGCCCAACCTATCCTCCTGCCTGAGCCTCCTGAGTAGCTGGGACCACAGATGCACACCACCATACCTGGCTAATTTTTTTTTCATTATTTTGTAAAGGCATAGTCTCCCTGTGTTGTCCAAGTTAGTTGCAAACTGCTGGACTCAAGGGATCTTTCCACCTTGGCCTCCCAAAGTGTTAGGATTACAGGCATGAGCCATGGCGCCTGGCCCAACATTAAAAACAAAAACAAAAAAAGCCCTCTAATTTTCTCTTTGTTCTTTTTTTTTTTTTTTTTTTTTTTTGAGACAGAGTTTCGCTCTTGTTACCCAGGCTGGAGTGCAATGGCGCGATCTCGGCTCACCGCAACCTCCGCCTCCTGGGTTCAGGCAATTCTCCTGCCTCAGCCTCCTGAGTAGCTGGGATTACAGGCACGCGCCACCATGCCCAGCTAATGTTTTGTATTTTTAGTAGAGACGGGGTTTCACCATGTTGACCAGGATGGTCTCGATCTCCTGACCTCACGATCCACCCGCCTCGGCCTCCCAAAGTGCTGGGATTACAGGCTTGAGCCACCGCGCCCGGCCTTCTCTTTGTTCTTTAGACATAACAAGCCATCCAGTCTGTGTGTATGCCTTGAATTGCAATTCTTTCTTTCCAAGTAAAACATTTTTCCAAGTGCAGTGGCTCACATCTGTAATCCCAGCAATTTGGGAGGCCGAAGTGGGAGGATGACTTGAAACCAGGAGTTTCAGACCAGCCTGGGTAACATAGCAAGACCTCATCTCTACAAAAACTAAAAAATTGACTGTGTGTGGTAGCACGTAGCTGTATTTCCAGCTACTTGGGAGGCTGATGTGGGAGGATTGTTTGAGACCAGGAGTTTGAGGCTACCGTGAGCTGTGATCACACCACTGTACTTTAGCCTGGGCAACAGAGCCAGACCCTGCCTTAAAAATAAAAAATAAAGAAACGAACAAAAAATATTTTAATGTCAGATATTTGTCTCTATATTTTATTTGACTTCAACAGAACTGTTTTATGTTTTTTTTTCAGGCAGTTTTGCATTAGTGCCTGTTGTGGAAGAAAGCATCATTCGGCTGGGTGCGGTGGGTAGCTTACGCCTGTAATCCCAGCACTGTGGGAGGCTGAGGCAGGCGGATTGCCTGAGGTCGGGAGTTTAAGACCAGCCTGACCAATGTGGAGAAACCCCGTATCTACTAAAAACACAAAATTAGCTGGGCATGGTGGCGCATGCCTACATTCCCAGCTACTAGCTACTTGGGAGGCTGAGGCAGGAGAATCACTTGAACCTGGGAGGAGGAGGTTGCAGTGAATTGCGATCTTGCCATTATACTCCAGCCTCAGCAACAAGAGTGAAACTCCATCTCCAAAAAAAAAAAAAAAAATGGCTGGGTGAAGTGGCTCATGCTTTTAATTCCAGCACGTTGGGCGGATCAGGAGGTCAGGAGCTTGAGACCAGCCTGGCCAACACAGTGAAACCCCATCTCTTCTGAAAACACAAAAATTAGCTGGGCGTGGTGGTGGGTGCCTGCAATCCCAGCTATTTGGGAGGCTGAGGCAGAAGAATCGCTTGAACGCGGGAGGCAGAGGTTGCAGTGAGCAGAGACTGTGCCACTGCACTCCAGCCTGGGTCACAGAGTGAGACTCCATCTGGGGAAGTGGAGGGATGACTGGAAAAGCTTGTGTGGAACAGTTCAGACGAACACAAAAGAGAGATTGTGCGGATGTCCTTCATCCCTATTGCTGTCTTAGATAACTGTCTGTGCACTGCCAGGGTAAATCATTTCACTAATAGTCATTAAATATTCTAGTTTGTATCTTTCTTACTTTCTTTTTTGAGACGGAGTTTTGCTCTTGTTACCCAGGCTGGAATGCAATGGTGCGATCTCAGCTCACCGCAACCTCTGCCTCCTGGGTTCAGGCAATTCTGCTGCCTCAGCCTCCCGAGTAGCTGGGATTACAGGCACACATCACCATGCCCAGCTAATTTTTTGTATTTTTAGAAGAGATGGGGTTTCACCATGTTGACCAGGATGGCCTCGATCTCTTGACCTCGTGATCCACCCTCCTCGCCCTCCCAAAGTGCTGGGATTACAGGCATGAGCCACCGTGCCCGGCCCCTAGTTTGTATCTTTTAAAGAACTTTTTTTTTTTTTGAGACAGAGTCTTGCTCTGTTGCCAAGGCTGGAGTACAATGGTGAGATCTTAGGTCACTGCAACCTCCACCTCCTGGGTTCAAGTAATTCTCCTGTCTCAGTCTCCCAAGTAGTTGGGATTACAGGCACCTGCCACGATGCCCAGCTAATTTTTTGTATTTTTAGGAGAGGCAGAGTTGTACCATGTTGGCCAGGCTGGTCTTGATCTCCTGACCTCAGGTGATCCACCCACCTTGGCCTCCCAAAGTGCTGGGATTACAAGTGTGAGACACCGCATCCAGCCTCAAAAAGAACTTAAAAAATAAAAATAAAAAAATGCCCTAAACAGTTAACAATAATTCATTATTAGTGTCACATAGACAGTGTTTGGAGCCTCCCCATCTCAAAATTGGCAGAGTTTGTTTGTATCAGGGTCTAGATTATTTTTTATTGGTTGTGTGGGTATGCTATTGGGATGAACCCTCATTTAATCCATCCTGTTGATGGACAGTGAACTGAATGTAATTTACATAATGAAAGCCTATCCTTCTAATGGGGTGGTACTAGGAGGTGGGGCCTTTGGGAGGTTATTAGGGATGGATAAGGTCTTGAGCGCAGAGCCGCCAGGAGGAGATACAGTGTCTTAAAGGAGGTCCTAGCATGAGTTTGTTCTGTTTCTACCTTGTGAGGACTCAGCGAGGAGCCAGCCTCAGGAACCAGAAAGCAGGACCTGATCACTGACTTCTACCCTCCAGAACTGTGAGTAATAATTTGTTGTTTCTAAGTCACCATGGCTTTGGTGCTTTGGTAGAGCAGCGGGAAGAGACATTTAGGTTGTTTGCAATGGTTTGCCTTTATTTAATCATGTCTGTGATGAACATACTAGAATTGGTTTGGCTTTCGTTTTCTCAGGCTGAACCTCCAGCTGGAGTTGCCCTAAAATTGTTGGCAGAGGAATTCCCACATGGGAGTGCCTTAGTCTCTGTAGAAATGGGACTTGTTGGGACTCCAAAGAAGGAAGCACAAGCTCCAGGGTGGTTGGTTCAAAGTGTTCATTAGGGGAACTTACCTGGTGGTGTATCGTGTGCTTGGATAGACACTGAGAGAAAAGGATGTTCTGCTTAGGTATGTCCCTGTCAAGGATGTCACAGTATGGAGTTTATAGGAAAGATTCAGGAATTTGGCTCAGGGTCAGTGCCAGTTTCTTTCCGCATTTTGGGTAAAAATTCAAATACCTTTGTTTAGTGCCTGGGAATATTTATGGGCCCCAGCTTAGGTTCAAGCCTGCTAGAGTAATGAGCTGCCCAGCTCACACAGCAGTCAAAGTACCTGGTGTTTCTTGGTTAGGACAGGAATGAAAGTGGGAGAACTGAAGGACATCACAGCTCCTCTTGCCAGATTCTTGGATTCTTGGAGATGGGAGTTACCGGGTCACGTAGAAGGAAGGACTGTGAGAGGGTTGGGCAGGAGCCCGGCTGGGTTTATCTCTGCTCACATCTCTACCAGTCCAGCGGTGGAGGTTTTCCTTTGCATCTCTCAGTATTGCAGCATGGATAGGATGGAATGCATGGCTTCTGTTTTCATAATTTAAGGTCTTTTGTAAAATAGGTATTTTCCTGGATGTTTTTCCAGGAGGTATTTGTGTTTTAATTGACTTAATGGTTCTTATCCAAAACCTGGTCGGACTGTCCATTTGGGTAAAGTTTTTTGGTAGTTCTAAAAATAATGATACTCAGGAAAGTGTTAACATTTTGTAAACATTGACTTTACATATGAGTCTACAGTTTATTAAATATTTTAAGTGCTGTTATCAGTGAGTTTTCCCCCATTGTATTTTTGCATTGGTTATTATTGCTTTTATGGGTATTTTTCTCAAAGATTCTTAGGACTGATAAAACCTGAATATGAAAGATCACATAGTACAGAATGCACAGCTCTCTCTCTTTCCATATATATATATATATATTTATATAAATATTTATATATATATAAATATTTTTTTCTTTTTTTTTTTTTTTTTAGACGGAGTTTCCCTCTTGTTACCCAGGCTGGAGTGCAATGGCACGATCTCGGCTCACCGCAACCTCCGCCTTCTGGGTTCAGGCAATTCTCCTGCTTCAGCCTCCTGAGTAGCTGGGACTACAGGCACGCGCCACCGTGCCCAGCTAATTTTTTGTATTTTTAGTCGCGACGGGGTTTCGTCATGTTGACCAGGATGGTCTCCATCTCTTGACCACGTGATCCATCCGCCTCGGCCTTCCAAAGTGCTGGGATTACAGGCGTGAGTGACCGAGCCCGGCCTGTTTTTCTATTGTTAAAGGAGTTTGGTTATTTTCCATGCAGTGACGACAAACTATTTTGAACATCTCGGCACAGGCTTTGGTACACATCTATGTGTGCTCTGGTTGAGTATTTCAACCCGGCAACACAGCGGGGTGTTAGGGCAAGTGGTGAGCCCATGGGGTCTCCCTCTCATGCCCAACAGTTTTCCATAGTGCGCAGCACACGGGAGCCTTTCTTTTGCTGCTCCCTTGGTTACCAGCACGGGCGTCACTGTGTAACAGCCTTTAGCAGTTTTGTTGGTGTTTTGTGTCGTGTGCATTGGTTAGCATCGGGGTTTCGATTTGCGTTTCATGGTGATTAAGCATTTTGAGCATTGTTCTTGTGTTTGCTGGTTTTAAAATGACCTTTATTGTTCAGATGCCTGTTAGAGGCTCTTGTCCACTTAAAAGAATGGCTTGTTTGGCGGGGCTTGGTGGCTCAGGCTTGTAATCCCAGCACTTCGCGAAGCCAGAGGGGGTGATAGCTTGAGGAGTTCATGATCAGCTTGGGCAACAGCATGTTGCCCCTAGCCTGTGCAAGAGACCATCTCTTAAAAGACGGGGAGGCTGTTTGTCTTTTGTATGGTGATTTGTAGGACTTCCTTGTCTTATTTTGGACATATACTTGGGTCATGTATTACAAGTATGTATTGCAAGTATGGTCCTCCCTGTCTTTAGCTTGCTTTTTCTAAATTATTATTTTATTTATTTATTTTTGAGATGGAGTTTTGCTCTTGTTCCCCAGGCTGGAGTGCAATGGGGTGATCTCGGCTCACCGTAACCTCTGCCTCCTGGGTTCAAGCAATTCTCCCACCTCAGTCTCCTGCGTAGTTGGGATTACAGGGTAGTTGGGATTACAGGCACGTGCCACCATGCCCAGCTAATTTTTTGTATTTTTAGTAGAGATGGGGTTTCACCATGTTGACCAGGATGGTCTTGATCTCTTGACTTCGTATCCACCGGCCTCGACCTCCCAAAGTGCTGGGATTACAGGCTTGAGCCACCACACCCGGCCTGCTTTTTCTAAATTTTAAGGGTTTGTTTTGATGAAGAGGTTGATTGATCTGCCTATTTCTATTGGAATAGTGCTTCCACATGTAATATTGGGGTTTAGGGTGCCCTTAGCTTCCCTGAGAGGACTTTTTCTAGGTTTTTGGTTTTTTGCCCTTTTAAGAATGAGAGAGGGGAGAATGGCACAGTACACAGTAAAAGCCAGAATTAAAAGTATTTGTAGAAAGTGATTTATTTAGAGAAAGAGAAACAGGAGAAGGAGAAAGAATAAACAACTAACTTTTACACTGAGTGAGAGAATTTAGGAAGATGGAATTTGGGAAAGGAAAGCAGGTTTTACATTGAATGGAAGGGAATAGAGATGGAGTTTAGGAGGGGAAGACAGGCTTCCAAGAAGGGAGTGTATGTGGAAGGGGATTCAAATATGGAGTCTTAAGTGGTGTAGAAGAAGGGGACTTTTAACCTCAGAGTAACCCTCACCTTCTCTAAGACCCCTGGCCAATAAAAAGAGTTTCTTGGAACTTCCGCTGGAGTGAGAGACTCTTAGTTTCTCCCAGATGGAGAGAGATGGGCGGTGGGGGGGGGGGCATGGCCCTGGGAAATTGTTGCCCTTAAAACTACACCCCCTCTTGGACCGGGGAAGAGAACACATTCCTCACACACTAGTCAAAAAATTACACATTTGATAGGGCTTTTTACATTATTCTGTGTCTTTTTTTTTTTTCTGCAACGGAGTTGCTCTGTCACTGAGGCTGGAGAACAGTGGCTTGATCTCGGCTCACTGCATCCTCTGTCTCCCAGGTTTAAGCAATTCTCCTGCTTCAGCACCCGCCACTACACCTGGATAATTTTTTTAGTAGAGATGGGGTTTCACCATGATGGCTAGGTTGTCTTGAACTCCTGACCTTCAAGTGATCTGTTCACCTCAGCCTCCCAAAGTGCCGGAATTACAGGCATGAGTCACTGCACCTGGCCTAAAATATTTTTACAGAGACTGCATCTCATTCTGTTGCCTAGGCTGATCTTGAACTCCTGAAACCTGGATATTTTCTCTAGCTTTGTCTTATGTATAGCAGGTCTTCAAATTACTTCATTTTGTTGTAACACTGACGTGAAAACAAATCCGCTGTCCAGGGCCACTGCCACTGTTGGTTTGGGTTGCATGTTCTCAGCTTGTTTGCAAGTTTTGTTTTGCTACTCAATTTTCCTCCCACATCCTACTCTGCACCCCTGAGGTGAATTTGGTGGGTCTCTGGTCACAATCTCAGTGAGGATAGGGCACATGTGAGAGCTCCCTGTTATGGCATCTTGACTATAATTATACAAATGCATGATAATAAACAATGTGGTCTGAAAGCATCCAGTCACCATATTTGTGATTGTGTCTGCGTGGTGTGATAGGAGATGCTCCCTCCAATTGTGGCTTTGCAAACATTTATTTTTATGTATGTATATATATATATATTTATTTTTGTTGTTGAGACGGAGTTTTCGCTCTTGTTACCCAGGCTGGAGTGCAATGGCGTGATCTCGGCTCACTGCATCCTCCGCCTCCTGGGTTCAGGCAATTCTCCTGCCTGAGCCTCCTGAGTAGCTGGGATTACAGGCACGCGCCACCATGCCCAGCTAGTTTTTTTGTATTTTTAGTAGAGACGGGGTTTCACCATGTTGACCAGGATGGTCTCCATCTCTTGACCCTCGTGATCCTCAGCCTCCCAAAGTTCTGGGATTACAGGCATGAGCCACCGCGCCCGGCCGATGTATATATTTTTTGAGATGAAGTCTTGATCTGTCTCCCACTGATTGCTGCAGCCTCCACCTCTTGGGTTCAAGCAACCTGTCTCAGCCTCTCGAGTAGCTGGGAATACAGGTGCAAGTAGCTGCGACTAAAGGTGTGTGCCACCCTGCCTGGCTAATTTTTGTGGTTTTTGTAGAGATGGGGTTTCACTATGTTGGCCAAGCTGGTCACGAACAGGTCTTACTTTTAAGTTTTTAATCTATTTTGATTGCATTTTTGTGGATGGTGTGTAATAAGGGTCTAATTTCATTCTGCATGTGGATGTCCAATTTTCCCAACACCACTTAGAAGACACTGTCCTTTTCCCCATTGTGTCCTTTTGACATATTTGTCTAAAATTAGATGGCTTTAAATGTGTGGCTTTATTTCCGAGCCCTTGATGCTATTCTTTTGGTCTATGTGGGGACCCACCTCTGAGCTCCCCAGGTTTCCTGGCACAGGATTCGGTCTGTAGTGGGCTTGTGGCTGGAGTCTCCCTTGGTTCCTTGCCACATGGGTGTCCCCCATAGGGTGGCTCACATGGTAGCTGGCTTCCTCAGGTAGCATGAGCATATACTGGTACGACAGAAGTCAGTCTGTCTCTTGAGACCTGATCTCACTTATGCCAGACCCCATAGTTAGAAGCAAGTCAGTAGATCAGCTCTTACAAAGGGAAGGCTGTAGATGAGGCCATGAATTCCTGATTGCAGGATGGTTGGACCATTCTGGAGGTCTCCACACCTTACCTGTGGGAGTGGGATTTCTTTCAGGTCTGTTTTTCTCAGGTGCCTAGAGAGCTACTGGCCACTCCAGGCTGTGGCCCTCACAGCTGAGCCCCAGAGCAAACCTCCCCTCTGCGAGCCTCCTGTTGGAACTGCCTGGGTCCACAGCCAGACAGAAGACATTTCATGTCTGTGGGCTGGGTTCATTCTGATGTCTGAGGGAGTGTCTTAGGTGCCTACATAGGAGTTGCAAGAATGGCCTAAGCAGAGACCATTCTCACAAGGAGAATCTGGGTGTTGTGGCAAAGAGGGCCAGGGGCTCCAGTGAGTCACTGGCATCAGGTTCCCATTGATGAGGCAGTTGTACTTGCAGGGATGATTGGTCTCCTTTCCAGGACCCTCCAAAATCTGTTTTTTTTTTTGTTTTGTTTTGTTTTTGACATGGAGTCTCACTCTGTGGCCCAGGCTGGAGGGCAGTGGCACAATCTCAGCTTACTGCCACCTCTGTCTCCCGGGTTTCAGTGATTCTCCTGCCTCGGCTTCCGGAGTAGCTGGAACTACAGGCGTGTGGCTAATTCTTATATTTTAGCTGAAATGCAGGTGATGCTCCAGCACAGAAGTAAAACACCAAGATGGGGACCAAGTAACAGTGTGGAAGAGGAAACGTTTTAGTACGTATAGTAGCTGGAACTACACTCGGCTAATTCTTGTATTTTTAGTAGAGACGGGGTTTTGCCATGTTGGTCAGGCTGGTCTCAAACTTCTGACCTCAAATGATCTGTCTGCCTCAGCTTCCCGAAGTGCTGGAACTACAGGTGCAAGCCACTTCGCCCAGCCCCAAATATTTCTCAGCTCACTAAAGTCACACCCCAAACTTGTATTAAAAGTGCTTGTATTATGCGTTTCAATTTGCAGTATTTTCTGCTTTATAACACGGGAAATGTTTCTTCTAGTCATTAAATGTATCCCTCATTGAAGGTAAGTAGCTTTCCTCTTGGCTCTGAATACTTTTTTTAATATTACAATTATTCCTGGGTATTTTGCGTTCAAATGGCTACTGTGAAAATGATTTAATTCATTTTATCTCTACCACATTATTGGTCATGTACAGGAAAACTATTGATATATTTTTTCTTTTGATGTTCATGGGGGCAAAGAGTGATGAATTTGTATCTTTCTGTTCCCTTGTGGAAGTGGTAGAGCCACCATCAAGTGGCTTCATCATTCCTGCCTGTCTCAGTGCTTCTGCCCTTTGACTAATCATGGTGCTGGTTATGGAGCTGAGATGTATGTGTGGCATGGGCATTAACCTTATCAAGCGCTTGCTGAGGCAGTGTGGCCAGTAAGATATGCAGATTTCTATCGTGTCGTGTGTGGCTTTGTCTCCAGTTCACCACCAGTAGGTGTTTTCAGTGTGCCTGGTAACAAATATCTACAAATGAGGCTGGTTGTAATGTTCTTGTTCTGTGGCCTCATTTTCAGATTTTTGTGTTACTATACGTACTAAAACGTTTCCTCTTCCACACTGTTACTTGGTCCCCATCTTGGTGTTTTACTTCTGTGCTGGAGCATCACCTGCATTTCAGCTAGGAAGCCACTGCCTGGTGGGGGCAGATCCCCCCACCTCCTGTTCTTACCTGTAGTTTTTTATTGGAATGTTAATTTCATGTTAAAACTCAACCACATTGATTTGTTTACGATTATCTTTGGCTGCTTTCTTGCCAAAATGTGGCATAGCTGCGAACTTGTGTTGAGGGCTGGAGGACCCTCAAGCCTGAATTATTTATGGAGCAGCTCTTTAAGAAGTTTTTTCTACCCTCTGCTGCCTCTCCCTTGCCACTCTCAGGCCTGTTTAGTCTAGACTGAAGGGCACTTGCTTCGGCACTTTTATTGCCTGGCAAAATTCCTGCCTTACACAGTTTATACTTCAGTGGGGTACATAGGCAATAAAAAGTAAAGTGTACAGTAAATTAGAAAATGTGCTGGGAGGGGTGAGTGGAAGTGGGAGGCTTGCACAGGACACACTGAGGTTCAGGGTTTGTGCCCAGCCTGGCTGCCCTTCCACCTGTGTGCTGACCCAGCCTTTCCTTCCACACAGGGACCTTCCAGAGTAGTGGACTGTCTTCACACCTTTTCTCATCAGTGCCCTCCTTGGGGGCCTGTGGATCCCCAGAGGAAGAGTCTCCTGGACTGAGCACACAGGCATGGTCACCACAGGGCTATGTGGCCAGGGTGTTGAGAGGCTGGGAGGGGAAGCTGGAGGGGGAGCAATGGAGGTAGGGTGGGCGGGGCACTATCTCCTTTCTGCACAGTCTCTTTCTTGCTTAAGAATTTGCACCTCTTGTGTGGGCAACGAATGCAACTTCAGGGTTACAAGAGTTGTGGTCACTTGTGCATTTTTTTTAAAAAGATGGCAGTAATAGGACCCTTTCCAGGTCTGCGACTGATTTTTGTGAGCAACAACAGAATGGGATTTATAAACGTGAGTACAACAGCAGGCGTCTCTGTATGAGCTGTGTGTGGGCACACTGCATCCTCAGGCATTGTCCTCCGTTCCTGAGTCCTTAGGACTCAGCACCAGGCAGTGAACAGATCCCGTTTCTAAGGTATCTTCTACATGTTCTGCTGCCACGGGGATGAGGAGCAGCCTCTGCTCCACCCATCTCCACCAATGAGTAAAAGCCAATTCCCTACCAAGGCAGGGAACACTCCACCTCCCACCTGCAGTCCCTGACCCTGTGCCGTTTACAGTGTTCCTTCACTCGTGAGTTGTCATGATGAAGAAAGAAGTCAGTAGCAAACTGACCCTCTTATGGAGTTATGACGTGGGGCTGTATGGGGACAATGATCTGCAGGGGACCTGGGGTCTGGCATGGCCTTGACACTGAGCAAGTGAGAAGGCAGCTGACCTTTGACAGCTACTATTTTGTTTGTCCAGCATGCAGGTAAGTTAGTCCCGTGCAGGTAAATTACTCCAGTAGACCATGACGAGGGGCACTAACTTGAAAAAATGGCCATGTGCCGAACTAAGAACTTCACAGATCCTCACCCAGACCAATGTTCAGAGACAGGGAGCCTCGACGTGAGAACCAGAGAAAGCTGAAGACGAGGAGCTGATCCCCTCACAGGTACAGTAGTCCCCTCTCATCCTCTAAATGTGTTCCAAGAGTTGACATTACCCCTCTGGCCTTATTAGCTTCCTGGCCTGTCTCACCGTGTCTTCATGACACGGCCTAAAAATCCTGGGCTTACTCAGCTGGCCATAACTTCCTTCCATGTCCACCTGTTCTTACTCACCTGGTTGTAATTTGCTGGCCTCAATCTCCCTTCAAAACCCAGCTGATTTTACCTGCTAAGATTTACTTGCCTGCCTTCTGACATTATGAGGCTTTTGTCATTGCTCTCCTGCCCTTGCTCCTCCCTGGTCTTAATCCAACTCATGTTAAGATTCTGGCCAGATTCTCTTAGCCTTCCCTACCTGGCCTAACCCTACGGGCCTTAACCTCCTGGCCTGAATTAGCCACCTAGTTTTCCCAACTACTCTTACTGATTCTACATTACTCACATGGCCTCCACACTGGGTTTTCACAACTGTCCTTAGCCTTCTGATTTTATCTAACAGGACTTAAACTCCTGGATTTACCTCCCTAGGTTTTCTTACTTGGTTTTCTCATCTCCCTGCTCTTTTCCTGTAACTTTACCTGCAACTCCATGCCCCCGCCCCATCTTGCGTTGCCCACCTGACCTTAACCTCACAATCTTCCCAACCTGGATGACCAACATAGTGTACCAACCTGGCATTCACACCTGGCCTTAACCTTTCATTCTAACTCACATGGCCTTAACCTCCTGACCTAGTGTGCCTAGTATTAACCTCTCGGCATTACCCAGGTGGAGTTAGCCATCTACCTCTATTTGGGAAGGCATTAACTTACTGGTGTAAACCCCCCAAACTTTTCAGTCATTTGGCTTTCTGACCTGGTCTTAATCTCATGGGTTTGCCAAGTTAGATGTTCCCATCTATCTTATGAACCTCCTGGCCTTACCCACCCGTTATGAATCTCCTGGCTTTATGCACCTAGCTTACCGACCTGACTTTACTCAGCTCATTTTAGGGCCGTGGACAGATGTTATTAGCCTTCCTCATCTGTCCTAACCTAAGGGCCTTAACCTCATGGCCTAACAACTTGTATTAGCAACCTAGTTTTCCTATCTAGTCTTAAAGACCATAGGTTACCCACATGGCCTTCACACTTGGTGGATACAACTGTCTCTAACTTTCTGGTTTTATCTACCAGGCATTAACCCTGGATATATCTCCCTAGGTGGGCTCCCCTGCCTTATTTTTCCTATATTTACACCCCTGCTTCCCCATTACTTTTGCATTCAAACGCCTCACATTAGCCATGTAACTCAAGAATATACCAAGTAGGAAGCTGTTAAATACCTTCCACTAATTACAAACTAAAAGGTATCCTCCACAAAGGAGCCATGGGGGCAGGGTAAACTTAATGTTTCTCAGCAATGCTCACCTGCCCTCTTCAGATGCCTGGCCTCAGCCTGGATAACTTAATCTGCTGGCTTCATATCCTACTGGTGTTTACCACCTGTTTCATTCGGCTGGCCTCCACCTCCTAGCCTTCACTCCAGTCATACTCACCTAGTATTTACCTATAGTCATTATTTGACTGGCTTGGCAACTTGCCCTTATTCCTAATGGGTGTTTTCCCTGTTGATTTCACAGCCTGGGGTTACTGAGATAGTCCTTTATTGAGCTAGATTTAGATACCTGGTTTTAACAACCTTGACAAAATTATTGATTAAACCCCAGGCCCAGCCCCGTCCCCAACCCTAGCTTTACCCCCGACTCTATGTCCCAGGCCCATGCCCCAGCCCCAGCTTTACCCACAATGCCATGTACCAGCCCCAAGCCCAGCCCCAGCCGTAGCTTAATCCCAACTCCATGGCACAGGCCCAGACCCAGCTTTACCTCCAACTTGATGTCCTAGCCCCAGCCCCAGCCCCAGCCCCAGTCTCAGCCCCAGGCCTAGGCCCAGCTGTAGATTTCTCCCCAACTCCGTGTCCCTGGCCCAGGCCCTTAACCCCTACTGGGTGTTCTCCCTGTTGATATCACAACCTGGGGTTACTGAAATAGTCCTTTATTGAGCTGGATTTAGACACCTGGTTTTAACAACCTGGCGAAACTCAGCCAACCTTATTGACCTGTTTGCGTTTGTCACCTTATTTTGTCCTCATGGTATGACGAACTTCATTATCTATCTGGCCTTATTAACCTCCTTGCCCTACTCACAGTCTTCATGACTTTGCCTAAAATTCCTGGCCTTACCGACTGGCCATAACTTCCTGCCACTGTCCACATGTTCTTAGTCACCTGGTTGTAATTTGCTGGCCTCAATCTCCCATCAGACTCACCTGATTTTACCCAATAAGATTTACCCACCTGCTTAGGCAGCTCCTGCCACTGCTCCCCCCCTGCCCTTGCCTTGTTGCCCTACCCACCTCATTTTATAGCCCAGGCCAGACCCCATTCACCTTCCCCAGCTGATATAACCCTGTGGGTCTTAAGTTCATGGCCTTTAAAATCTGTATCAGCCACCTAGGTTTCCCACCTCTTAATGGTATACATGACCCACATGGCTCCACACTTAGGTTTCACAACTGCTCTCACCGTTCTGGTTTTATCTAACAGGCTTTAAGCCACTGCCTGGTTTTACCAAACTTCATGGCCCCACCCTAGCCCCAGCCCTAGGTTTACCCCAAACACCATGGCCCAGGCCCTGCCTCAGCCCCAGCCCCAACCCCAGTCCCAGCCCCGACCCTAGCTTTATCCCCAACTCCATGTGCCAGGCCATGCCCCAGCCCGAGCTTTACCTGCAACTCCAGGTATCAGCCCCAAGCCCAGCCCCAGCCATAGCTTTATGTCAATTCCATGGCAGAGGCCTAGCCTCAGCCCCAGCTCCAGCCCCAGCCCCAGCTCCAGCCCCAGCCCCAGCTTTATCCCCAGCTGCACGTTCCAGCCAATGACCTGCCCCGGGCCCTGACCCAGTCCCGGTCCCTGACCCAGTCCCGGTCCCTGACCCAGTCCCGGTCCCTGACACAGTCCCAGCTTTACCCTGAACTCCACGTCCCAGCACAAGACACAACCCCAGCCCCAGCCCGAGTCCAAGGAGCAGGCCCTGGCCCAGGCCCATGCCCAGCTAAAGCTTTCTGCCAAATTCCATGTCCCTGGCCAGGCCCTTAATCCTACTTGGTGATTTCCCTGTTGATATCACAACCTGGGGTTACTGAAATATTCCTTAACTTAAATGGATATAGATACCTGGTTTTAACAACCTGGCCAAACTTACTGATTAAATCCCTGGCCCAACCCCAAGCCTAGATTTACAACAAATTCCACACCCCAGTACCAGCCCCAGCTTTACCCCCAACTCCACATCCCAGCCCAGGCAAGGACCATACCCAGGACTAGGCCCAGCTATAGCTTTCTGCCAAACTCCATATCCCTGCCCCAGGCTCTTAATCCTACTGGGTGTTCTCCCTGTTGATATCACAACCTGGGGTTACTGAAATATTCCTTAACTCAGCTGGATTTAGATACATGGTTTTAACAACCTGGCCAAACTTACTGATTATACCCCAGGCCCAGCCCCAGCCCCAGCCCAAACCCTAGCTTTACCCCCAACTCCATGTCTAAGGCCCATGCCCCAGCCCCAGCTTTACCCACAACTCCATGTACCACCCCAAGCCCAGCCCCAGCTCTACCTTTACCCCAACTCCATGGCACAGGCCCAGCCCCAGACGCAGTGTTACCCTCAACTGCTCATTCCAGGCCATGTCCCTGCCCCCAGGCCCAGCAGCAGTCTCAGATTGACCCCCAACTCTATGTCCCAGCCCCAGCCCAAGCCCCAGGACCATGACCAGGACCAGGCTCAGGCACAGGTCCAGGCCCAGAAGTAGCTTTCTCCCCAACTCCATGTTCAAGGCCCATGCCCCAGCCCCAGATTTACCCGCAATGCCATTACCAGCCCCAAGCCCAGCCCTAGCCCTAGCTTTACCCCAACTCCATGGCAAAGGCCCAGACCCAGCTTTAACCCCAACTCCACGAACCACCCCAATCCGCAGCCCCAGCCACAGGACCAGGCTCAGGCCCAGGCCTAGGCCTAGCTGTAGCTTTCTCTCCAAGTCCATGTTTCTAGCCCAGGCCCTTAACCTGACTGGGTTTTCTCCCTGTTGATAATACACAACCTGGGGTTACTGAAATATTCCTTAACTTGGCTGGATTTAGATAACTGGTTTTAACAACCTGGCCAAACTTAGTGATTAAACCCCAGGACCAGCACCAGCCCCAACCATAGCTTTACTCCCAACTCCATGTCCCGGGCCCATACCCCAGCCCCAGCTTTACTGGCAACTCCATGTACCAGCCCCAAGCCCAGCCCCAGCCCAAGCTTTACCCCCAACTGCACGTCCCAGCCGATGCCACGGCCCCAAGACCAGGCCCAGCCCCAGGTCCAGACCAGGGCCTAGGCCCAGGTGTAGCTTTCTCCCCAACTCCATGTCCCAGGCTCATGCCCGAGCCCAGCTTTATCTGCAATACCATGTACAAGCCCTAAGTCCAGCCCCAGCTCTGGCTTTATCCCAACTCCATGGCATAGGCCCAGCTCCAGCTTTACTTCCAACCCCACATTCCAGCTCAAGTCCCAGTCCAAGCCCCAGCTGCAGCCCCAGGCACAGCCCCAGCTGTAGATTTCTCCCCAATTCCATGTCCCTGGCTCAGGCCCGTAACACTACTGGGTGTTCTCCCTGTTGACATCACAACCTGGGGTTACTGAAATATTCCTTAACTTAGCTGGATTGAGATACCTGGTTTTAACAACCCGGCCAAACTTACTGATTATACCCCAGGCCCAGGCCCAGCCCCAGCTTTATCTGCAATGCCATGTACCAGCCCCAAGTCATGACCCAGACCCAGCTTTACCCCAATTCCAAGGCCCAGACCCAGATTTACCCCCAACTCCACATCCCAGCCCCAGCCCCAGCCCCAGCCCCAGCCCCAGGCCTAGGCCCAGCTGTCCCAACTCCATGTCCCTGGCCCAGGACCTTAACCCTACAGGGTGTTCTCACTGTAGATATAAAAACCTGGGGTTACTGAAATATTCCTTAACTTAGGTGGATTTAGATACCTGGTTTTAACAACCTGGCCAAACTTACTGATTAATCCCCAGGCCCAGCCACAGCCACAACCCTAGCTTTACCCCCAACTCGATGTCCCAGACACATGCCCCAGCACCAGCTTTACCCGCAATGCCATGTACCAGCCCCAAGAGCAGCACCAGCCCCAGCTTTACCCGAACACCACGGTACAGGCCCAGACCCAGTTTTACCCCCACCTCCACATCCCAGCCCAAGGTCGAGCCCCAGCGCTAGGCCCAGCTATAGATTTCACCCCAACTCCATGTCCCTGGCCCAGGCCCTTAATCTTACTGGGTGTTCTCCCTGTTGATATCACAACCTGGGATTACTGAAATATTTCTTAACTTAGCTGGATGTAGATACCTGGTTTTAACAACATGGCCAAATTTACTGATTTGGCCCAAACTCAGCCCCAACACTAACTTTACCCCAACTCCACTTCAGGCCCATGCCCCAGCTTTACCCACAATGCCATGTACCATCCCCAAGCCCAGCCCCAACCCTAGCTTTACACCAACTCCATGGCAGAGGCCCAGACCCAGCTTTACCAGCAACTCCACGTCCCAGCCCAAGACCGATCCCAGCCCCAGCCCCAGCCCCAGCCCCAGGCCTAGGCCCAGCTGTCGATTTCTCCCCAACTCCAGGTCCCTGACCCAGGCCTTAACTCTACTGGGTGTTCTCCCTGTTGATACAACAACCTGGGGTTACTGAAATATTCCTTAATGCAGCTGGATTTAGATACCTGGTTTTAACAACGTGGCCAAACTTACTGATTAAATTGCAGGCCCAGCCCCAGCCTAAACCCAAGCTTTACCCCAACTCCATGTCCCAGGCCCATGCTCCAGCCCCAGCTTTACCCACAATGCCACGTACCAGCCCCAAGACCAGCCCCAGCCCTAGATTTACCCCAACTCCATGGCAAAGGCAGAGACCCAGCTTTACCTCCAACTCCATGTCCCAGCCCAAGCCACAGCCCCAGCCAAACCCAAGCCCCCCAGCACTAGGCCCAGCTGTAGATTTTGCCCTAACTCGATGTCCTTGGCCCAGGCCATTAACCCTACTGGGTGTTCTTCCTGTTGATATCACAACCTGGGGTTACTAAAATTAAAATTTTTCTTAAGTTTGCTGGATTTAGACACCTGTTTTTTTTTTTTTTGAGGCGGAGTTTTGCTCTTGTTACTCAGGCTGGAGTGCAATGGTGCGATCTCGGCTCACCGCAACCTCCGCCTCCTGGGTTCAGGCAGTTCTCCTACCTCAACCTCCTGAGTAGCTGGAATTACAGGCATGCGCCACCACGCCCAGCTAATTTTTTGTATTTTTAGTAGAGATGGGGTTTCACCATGTTGACCAGGATGGTCTTGATCTCTTGACCTCGTGATCCACCCGCCTCAGCCTCCCAAAGTGCTGGGATTACAGGCTTGAGCCACTGTATCTGACATTAGACACCTGGTTTTAACAGCCTTGGCAAACTTACTGATTAAACCCCAGGCCCAGCCCCAGGGCCAACCCTAGGTTTACCGCAGATCCATGGCACAAGCCCAAATCCAACCTTACTCCCAACTCGACGCCCCAGCCCCAGCCCCAGCCTAGGCCCAGCTATAGATTTCTCCCCAATTCAGTTCCATGTTTCTGGCCCAAGCCCTTCATCCTACTGGGAGATTTCCCTGTTGACATCACAACCTGGGTTTACTGAAAGATTCCTTACCATAGCTGGATTTAGATACCTAGTTTTAACAACCTGGACAAACTTATTGATTAAACCCCGGGCCCAGCCCCAGCCCCAACCCTAGCATTACCCGCAACTCCATATCCCAGGTCCAAGCCCCAGCCCCAGCTTTTCCTGCAATGCTGTCTACCCAGCCCCAAGAGCAGCCCCAGCCCTAGCTTTACCCCAACTCCATGGCACATGCCGAGACTCAGCTTTAAACCCAACTCCAAGTCCCAGCCCAAACTCCAGCCCCAGCCCCAACCTCAACCCAAGTCCTAGGCCCAGCTGTAGATTACTCCCCAATTCCATGTTCCTGGCCCAGGCCCTTTTAATATTCCTGGGTGTTTTTCCTGTTAATATCACAACCTGGGGTTACTGAAATATTCGTTAACTTAGCTGGATTTAGACACCTGGTTTTATCAACCTGGCCAAACTTACTGATTAAACCCAAGGCCCACCCTCAGGCCCAACACTAGCTTTGCCCCAACTCCATTGCACAGGCCCAGATCCAGCCTTACCCCCAAGTCCATGTCCCACCAAGCCCCCAGCCGCAGCCCCAGCCGCAGCCCCAGCCGCAGCCCCAGCCGCAGCCCCAGCCGCAGCCCCAGCCCAGCCCCAGCCCCAACCCTGGCCCAACCCTAGTCCCAGCCCCAGCCCCTGACCCAGCTCCAGCCCCAGCCTAGGCCTAGCTGTAGATTTCTCCCAAATTCCATGATTCTGGCCCAAGCCCTTAATCATACTGGGAGATTTCCCTGTTGACATCACAATCTGGGGTTACTGAAATATTCTTTAACTCACCTGGATTTAGAGACCTGGTTTTAACAACCTGGACAAAACTATTGATTAAACTCTGGGCCCAGCCCCAGCCCCAACCCTAGCTTTACCCCAAACTCCATGCCCCAGGCCCATGCCCCACCCCCAGCTTTTCCCGCAATGCCATGAACCAGACCTAAGCCCAGCCCCGGCCCTAGCTTAACCCCAACTCCATGGCACAGGCCCAGACCCAGCTTTACCCCACAACTCCCACATCGCAGGCCCAGCCTCAGGTGTAAATTTCTCCACAACTCCCTATCCCTGGCC